GGGGGGCAGCAGCAAGGTTGAGAGTAAGTTATATAGACAGGACATATGAATTCGATGGGGCGAAATTGGACCGACAACGGTAAATAGGTTAACGTACGGACGGTGTCTTCCCTGTGCCTTTAAACTCTGTTGTATTCTTCTGTGTACGTATGCGGTTGTGAATATAGGGCGAAGTCCACTGATAAACTCGGTCAATAACGTGGACTTGGTCGTAACGTAAACACACTCTGTCGAAAGTCTGCACGTATCACTTTTTGGTTGTCGTAAATATGATTATATTTATTAATTTATATAAATGATCCTTATATACCAAAACTCTATACATTCGAAAAATATTATCAGTATATCATGTTAAACTGTTTATCAGTTATAACAGTTTCCTCGACATATATTGCGACATACGCCAAAGCGTGGACGATGATGAAACTCGAGGCAAGAAAGTTGTAAACGTCAATCTGTTACCTACGTGCGTTGCTGTCAAGTCTAGATAAGTTGGCACTTCCTGAATCGAGCTGAGAGGATAAACAGGTTTGTATTCAGAAAACAACGTACACAGAGGTACCATGGTTACTTTAAATTATTCAGGAACAAACTAGTGAAACTACGGTCGATGAATGACCACAGTTTACCAACATTATTTGTTAAAATTTATGGAAGTTTTAATGGTAGGCCTATCCACAAAATTGTTTCATTAATGTCTTCGATTTCATATTTATCATTCAAAACAATGGAGGAATATTTGTATACTTATGAGTAAAATAAGTTCACCAATTTACAGTACATTACGTCGTATCAGGATATCTATGACAGGTCCAGTACACTGCCGATTGAGCTCTTACTACATAAAACAATAAAGTTTATGGGTATGTAGACTACAAAAAAGTATACATTTAGATGTTTATTTTCATTTTCCGATTTTTTTAACATCATTATTTTTTAAAAAGAACATTTAATGTCTTTTGTTATCAACATAATGATAAAATCTTCTTTCTAAAGCAAATTTGTTTCGTTCCTTAAAAAAGAAAATCACATGAAAATAGCTTTAAAGACCTAGGGTACATTCGCGTATCCGGTTGAACCTGTAAAGAAAACAACAGGTACAGATCTGGACCAAGGCTGACCTCAGGAAAATTTGGCACGCTTAGATTGAGGGGTCCAGACGTACCTGACTGAAACTAAAATGCTGACTATTGCCATTTTGCGTTATTTCTTTCTAAAACAATGTCAAGCCACATGTAGTTTTTAAGATACGTTATGTAATTCAGTGGACGCGTAAGAGAAGGGTATAATATTTTTGATACATCGTTTTTTATTCTTCGATACTGTGCATTTTTAGCTCTGCTTATAGAACGGTCCAAGTGCGTTCGTTTATCGTGGAAAATGTCTGCGCCACACGTACCGTTTCAACCGGTATACGTGAATGTAGCCCTATTTCAGATAGGTCAATAGAGCTATTATAGGTCTTTACAGCTATATAGCTCAATCGGCAGAGTGTACTGGACCTGTATGATTGGTTAAAATAGTCTATATGCTATATTGGGGTCAAAGTTAAGGTGTACTTTTGGGAAAATAAAGAGGATTTTTGCATTATACAGCAGAGAATTTCTAGGGGAAAGTAGCTAGGTGCCTTTATAAGGCCACACATGCACCCTAAACAAATCACTGGTCTTCAAGAGTGCAACTCTTGCGTTTGGAAGACATGGTAATGCTAGTTAGGTATATTATTAACAAAATAAAAAATGTATTTGCCTGATTGTGAGATTTTTTTCTTTTCTGTTTCACTCAATTAAAATCAAAAAATATTTAAAATCATTTAAAGCAAAAACAATCTAAATTTACAATGTGTCTGCTTTTAGCAGTATTGGTTTGTGACTGATTGAAATACAGGTATAGTATATGGTATTTATTATATATGCATACATTGATGATACTTTTACCACAGACTTAGATATTCTTATCTAATTCCATGCTTTCACAAACAAATCTTCATGAAAAATATTATACCATGTACTTCTAAGTCATGAATGAAGAGTTATTTCCCTTATGTCATTTCGTCTATATTGCATTGATCACTATATTTCACTACCTGATAAAATTACATAATGCACATTGCACTAACTGCCATGATATTGCTAAATATTTGGATTTATACAATAACCAGGTATTCAGAAATATGGTTTCTTTTCTAAATGTTCAAATAATGGATATAGATATTTTATTTCATGTTTTTTTTAGATCCTATTGAAAAAAACATTCAAAGGGATTTGGCACAAGTTCTGACAACTTACTAGGGGATCCTATATGTAACTGTAAAAGTTTGCCAACAAGTGATTGTTGGTTATCAAGTTTATCTTACTTGAGTTAAATAGTTCATTTTCTAATTACCATACAAGAAACAATGTTTAAATACAGAGTGTCTTTTTCAATTTGAAAATTTAGTAAGGAGAATAAGATAAACATGACATTTGAATTCCACATCACAAGTTTGGGGACCTTTTCTTCCCACAATCTACCAGATATTATATCCTATTACTATAATATTATTCCTGTTTCTGATTGTATAAACATTTGCCATGAATTATGACTTCACAATAGAAGATGACATCACAAAGCATAATTATAAAATTGACCAATGAAATACCCACTAATGGGTAACAAAATATGTTTACCATTTCCTAGCAGGTTTATCCAATGAGTTTGGAATGAGGAAACCCGAGCTATAGTGGTTATGCGTGAACTAGATATTATTGATAGATGCAAGTACATGCAGAGCTTTATTTAGTTAAAACATATTTTTGGTGTTAACGAAATTTTAATTTATTGAAAAATTGATTATAGTTGTATGTCTTTAACATTTTCTTACATTTTTTTTCTTTCTTTTGTCAAGAACTAGGGTCCATTGTGATTGAGAATCTAAAATGGCAGAAAATGGGAGCAGTCTCTCTCCGGAGGAAAAGTTTACATTAATTACTAGGAACTTACAGGTAAAACCAGAGAGTTAAATCAGTGTTCATCTTATTTTTATAGATTATTCTTTCCATTCTGAATCTTTCTGGCTGATGTTTATAATTAAAGTTATGTGAAATTTGACTGACAGGAATATCTATTTGGCACGTAGAAGTATGAGTTCATTATACTGAAACATTTTCCTGATTTTGTAAATTAACATTTTCCTAAATATAGGTAACTGTAGATAAAGTATTTTTGGATGGATAATATGACCAACAATTGGTATAATTGAAATATTTAATTGAAAAAAGTTTGATATACCGGTATTTATTAAAAAGTTGTATCATTTTAAAGTGATAAAAAAATTGTAGAAGAACTGAACTACTGAAAACAAATTATTTTTTACCTGTGTTGTGAAATGGTTGACAGTGTTTTGGTTTCTGTAGGAGACGATAGGTGAGGAGAAACTCAAGGCAGTTTTAAAAGAGCGTGATGTGAAGATCTACTGGGGAACCGCCACCACTGGCAAACCTCACGTGGCCTACTTTGTTCCCATGTCAAAGATTGCAGACTTCCTTAAGGCTGGCTGTGAGGTATGTCCACGTCTAGAAAGTCCTTCTGGGATATAATTGAAATAAGTATGACTAGTGTGAATTGAAAAAAGATAAGCAGATTTCCAGTTAATCATAAAAGTTGTCAGACTATGAAAATTTCAGACGTTTCGACTTGTTTTAATATTAAATTTTAGAAAATATACACAACTTTAATATGATAATCTAATTTTTCATATTCAATATTTGTCATGCATTTTACTGCAAGTAGAGTGATTTTCCTGTAGATAGAATGTATTTTTCACTAGTTTTGACATTACTCGTATTAAGTGACTAAACATACTGTGTTGCCAGGTTACCATCCTGTTTGCTGACCTTCATGCCTACCTTGACAACATGAAGGCCCCTTGGGAGTTACTGAATTTACGTGTCAAGTACTACGAGGCAGCTATCAAGGCCATGCTCAAGTCGATTGAGGTCCCTCTTGAAAAGCTCAAGTTTGTGAAGGGCACCGAATACCAGCTCAGCAAGTAAGTCAATGACATGTTCCGGACAACCACAACTCAGCGTTCTCTATTCTTAGACTGATTCAGAGTACGTACAAGGCTTTTTATGCCTGTGACGCATCAACAAAAGCCGATCATGGAAGATAACTCATTGGATTTGCTGGGAAATCTCGGGCTAAGATTCTGTAACATCCCGACCTGGGCAAATACCCTGATCTTGCTCAGTAACACGTAATAGATTTTATAAGACAAAATTCTGAGAAAGTATCCAAAACCTGACAAGATTTTTTTAATTACAGAGAGTACACATTAGATGTCTACAGACTGTCGTCGTTGGTGACGGAACATGATGCCAAGAAGGCTGGAGCAGAGGTGGTAAAACAGGTTGACCACCCCCTACTTAGTGGACTGCTCTATCCTGGTCTTCAGGTACGACCGTCTCATTTGTAAATGAATGGGTGTGACAGTGAGGATTAATTATCACATCAGTATGAGGTTATAAAATCTTTCATAAATGAGATATAAAATTGACCTTTCTTTTTAGCATAACAAAAGCAAGTTTGCTTCCGATTACTGTCTTTGAGAACTAGGATATATGAATAGGCAAATATGAAGACAAATGATTATATATCTACATGAAATTGATATTTACAAAGATTGTATAAAACAGTATTTCTATTCTTTATTTTGTATCAGACTTTGAATTTAAAATATTACCAAAACAAAAGGGCTGATATGCAATAGCAGAAATAGTTTTATGGATTTTTTTGGGAAATTGTCTTCTAACTTAAAACAATAAAGTCTTTTCTACATTTCTAAACATTTTCTTCCGGTTGGTAAGTATGGATTATGAAAAGTTCTTTTTACACAGCCAATAACATTTTCTATGTGACGTTTCGATGACTAGTACGACATATCGTACTAGTCATCGAAACGTCACATAAATGTCGTACTAGTCATCGAAACGTCATATAAACATATCTATTGGTTGTGTTAAAAGAACTTTTCATAATCTTTTCTACATTGAATATTGGTAAAGGAAAGGGACAGTGATGTACTTATGATTGATTTAATATGGGCAGGGGCCATGCTAATCTTCTCCGTATCGTTCCAATCTTAATGTATGTACTGTCGAAGCAGTAATATGTGAGGTTACCGTACTGGGGTAAAAACATAATTAACAACTGTATAGTAGGACTCGGGTAAAAAATTATTTAATAAGCCTGTAAATCAATTTGATTGTTTTTCTCTATGTATTGCTTTTGTAAATTTTCCATGTATTACATTGGTCATTATGAGTTCTGTGTCCTTGATGTATAACATAGTCACTCAGGTTGATTTGTGTTCAGGCACTTGATGAGGAATACCTCAAGGTGGATGCTCAATTTGGAGGAGTTGATCAGCGTAAAATCTTCACATTTGCAGAAAAAGTGAGTACCTCATTTAATACAAATAGAAACATTGTTTAAACTACCTAAACTTGTGATAGAAAATAGAAGATAAGTAATGTTGTAAGTATTTCTGTCTGAAACTAGAAATAAAATATATATACCCTATAGAATTGAAATTATGCTTATTAAAGAATGTAGATAGTTTTGAAATTAATTTGATTTTTTTTTATTTCTTTTATATAGTGCAATTAATTACCATAATGTGACAAGCATAAGTTGTAAAATTACATTTCATTTGTCATAAAATCTCATGAAATTGAATTCTATGGGTCTATGAAAATAATATGTGAGATCAGAAAATTCTTGAGTTTGTTCGAATTGATATGCATAGAAATTAATAAAGATGACCCGTAGTTAAAAAGGTTTTAGAGGTAAAAAGGAACTTTTGATTTAAAAAGAAATGAAAGTTAACAATCTTTGAGATAAACATTTTTTGAGATAAACTGATATTTTTTGTAGTAACTGTTTAACGATGCTATGTTACATGTTTTCAGTACCTCCCACATCTAGGATACAGCAAGAGGATCCACATGATGAACCCTATGGGTGAGTATATATATATAATGTCAAGGTCAGAAATGATAAAACTAACCAAACCAAACGGTCCAGAATTTTCTCAAAAGAAAGGTTACCAAATGTTGGAAACACATCAAGGACTCAGATCATGACAAACCCATTTCAATAATGTTTTACTGGCTGTCCATGGTGCTAAAGGGATACACATAGATAATATATAGGTGATGGTTTCCCCATTAAAAACCATTACATGTTTTAAAGTCACAGAACTCAAATATTGCTGCTTCAAAAAAGTGTGGGAATTAGAAGCGTAATATTTGATGTTAATTTCTGATGATGTCGCACCTGACGACAAAGCAGAGAGCCATTTTGAATGGGTTGCTCAAATGTAATTCTGCTGTTTGCTGCTATAATCTGGTAAGATTTCCAAGCAAAACTGATACAAATTGTGTAGTTATGTAAATACCATACTGTATGGTTCAAAGGTCTAACAAAACTACCAATAATTCTGCTGTTGCTTCACCGGAACTTGGAGACAAACAATCTACACAGTGAATAGAATGTACTGTTCTGATTGGACAATATTCATAGTGATATCTTCACATGTGAAGATTTAATGTTTCTTATATAATCACTGCAGGGAAGATTCCTGATATTTCACTGGTGAATATTTGATAAAAAGGAATAGAACATTATTTGTTCATTGTCTTATCGGTATAAACTTCTGTAACTTACAGACTTCATAAGGTGTACTTGGCAAAAAGATTATGATATTTACATAATAAAAAACTTAGTCATCAAGTGATGTTCTCTGATAGTTACTGTGTTTTGTGTGTTTATTGTCAAAGACATGACAATCGAAGGACTACCATAGCAGTGACAACAGTAGTAAAGTTAGTACAGGGTATATCAACACACCTAGCTTGTGTCTTAGTAGAACTTGGGACTAGGCTTTGTGAAAACTGGGGCTGCAATGATATATCGTGGGATGATACATTGCAATATTTTGAATAAGGTATGACACACAATATTATTTTGGAGGTCATGATACACCTAAGATATTTTCTGGATTTTGAAGTTTCTGAATTAAGTTTACTCCTATCCGTTCCCAAATGGCGAGTGACAGCTCCAGCTCTGCATGCACCTCGGAAGACATGAATTGTGTGAAACTTTAAAATCATGCCCATTTTGGACCAAGTCTATTTCCTGTTGTAATATTGCAATTCAAAATTTGCAATATTTCCTATCGTTTTGCTTCATCTGTTACTATATATGTACGGTATGAGATACGTATCGTATCGTCATGTTAATGTATTGTTGCAGCCCTAGTAAAAAGTATCTTCTTCCTATAGTACCGGGCCTCACAGGGACCAAGATGAGCTCTTCAGATGAATCCTCCAAGATAGACCTACTAGACTCTCCCGCCCAGCTGAAGAAGAAGTTAAAGTCCGCCTTCTGTGAGCCGGGAAACATTAAGGATAATGGCGTGCTGTCCTTCTGTAAATTTGTTCTCTTTCCGCTGTCTAGAACAGGAGGTAACTATTTACCTAGCAATGTGTTTTTATTGACCACTGAATCTTGTCACAAGACTAATTAAATCTATTACCTGTAACTGAGTGAATTCAGGTTATCTCAGTCGAGGGCTAAGATTCTGTAACATAATCTACGCCTCGGTTGGGATGTTACACAATCTTAGCCTGAGACTGAGATAAGTTACAAGTTTGATTTTTCCTTGCAACTGTAGGTTTGGAAACTGTTCCACTTCGCTAAAGTCAGCAAGTATCCCGTCTGGGGCTTCAAATAAATATTGCATATTCACTAATAAGTTATGTTTGAATGTTTAAAGTTATGTGTGTTAAAGAATAAAAGAATGGAATAAATATAATAAAGTAAAACAATCTCTTCTTTTTCAGAATTCAAGGTCCTAAGATCAGCTGAATATGGTGGGGATAGTATATACACATGTTTTGTAGATCTAGAAGCAGCATTTGAAAAAGAGGTAAAAAGTTCAATGTGACTTGAGTTTGGTTTAATATTGGAAAATATTTTTAAAAATCAATCATGATAAAACCACTTTTTTAAAACTTTTATTTAATTTCAATTTTCATCAATATGGATAAAGAAAGATTTATGGACCAAATTTTTCAGTGGAATGTTTCATGCATCTAGTTGAGGCATTTTTCATCTTCAAGTTTAAAGTTTGCACACTGTTCTAAAAATTTCAGTCTAAATTACTATTACAGTAGACTAAGTTTTCAGTGAAGGTGTATTAAGCAGGTCTTGGTACATTTACATTAGATGTTGCATGTTAATGAGGATAAATCATAGAATTATAGAAGAAAAAAATTGTGATTTTATGTATACATATAAAAATACCCTATATTCTCAACCTCACAACAAAATTGGCATCGACGTAAGATGTGTCTTTATGTCATTGGGATGTCATATAGTACCTTCCTAAGGAGAACAATATAGTTATGTCAAGGAAAACCAATCTGTTTTTATTGTAGTTAGTCAATTACCTGAAAATATAGATTTTATCATATGATGTATAATAAAGTATTTATGTTCAGTAATTTGGAATAATAAGAATTATCTTGTTTGGGGGTTGCTGTACTTCCAAACCAGTTTTCCATAAGAAAAATCGAGTTAGTTTGAAAGGATCTTAGTGAAAAAAATCCAATTGGATAATTCAGAATTACCCGGGTTAATAAAATCTATATTTATTTTACAACAATTATGTTATTATTAAGTTTTTACAAATTATGATAATCAATCTTGTTGGCCTGGATTTGGGGAGGAAACTGGAGTATCTTGGCGAAAACCCATGTGGTCGAGCAGGCACCCCATACCTTTTCACATCCAATTTGGGAATCGAACCCTGGCATCCTCAGTGAAAGGCAAGTGCTCTATCCACTGCACCACCCGACCACCCATTAAGTATCTGTGTTAGCAGTGCTAGCATTCTTGTGCACTTTCAAAAGTGTTGCCAGTGAAAAAGCAGAATCCACCATTCATAAAAGAGGGATTATTGTGGAACTTTTTCTATGGCAAGGAGTATGTATAGTAGGTTGGCACATGCACTCTTAAATGAAAAGATCTTTGTTTAAAATGAGAATGGAGATAATTTAATACTAACATGTATGGTACAGGAGGTGCACCCTGGAGACCTGAAAACCTCAGTGGAGTTTTACCTAAATGAGCTGCTGGAGCCAATTAGGGCTGAGTTCTCTTCTGATGAGCTGAAGAAGCTGGCTGGCAGAGCATACCCGGTGGAGAAGAAAAGTAAGTGTTAGCAGACACTGGGTACTCGTTTACAGGACACTGGGTACTCATTTACAGAACACCTGGTACTCATTAACAGGGACTGGGTACTCGTTTACAGGGACTGGGTACTCGTTTACAGGGACTGGGTACTCATTTACAGGGACTGGGTACTCATTTACAGGACACTGGGTACTCATTTACAGGGACTGGGTACTTATTTGCAGGGACTGGGTACTCATTTACAGGAGACAAGGTACTCCTTTACAGGAGATTGGGTAATCATTTACAGGGACTGGGTACTCATTTACAGGAGATTAGGTACTCGTATGTGGGTGTCACAAACTCATTTTCAAGAGACAATAGTGTTTTATTGAAGAGCTGCTCAGTTTGTAGAAGTTATTGAAATCTTATGTATTATTGTTTCTTATTTAACATTTTATATAGACTGACTGGCATGTTTTCAGGAACTAAAAAAAAAATGCCTAAGATTGCTACACATTTACAGAAAACTCTAACTAGGCAATAAATCTATGGTTTCAGAGAAGCCTGGCCAGAAAGGAGCCACAGGGACCGCTACTGAGGATAAACTGACCCCAGACAGACTCGACCTGAGGGTGGGGAAAATCCTTTCTGTGACAAAGCATCCAGATGCAGACTCATTGTACGTAGAATCAGTAGACCTTGGGGAGGAGGCTCCTCGGACGGTGGTCAGTGGACTGGCTGGACTTGTGCCAATGGAGGAACTCCAGGACCGCATGGGCGTGTTCCTGTGTAACCTCAAACCACAGAAGATGAGAGGCATCGAGTCCCAGGCAATGCTCATGTGTGTGAGTGTGGCGGAACCCCGCGCTGTAGAGCCTCTTAACCCTCCCGAGGGAAGTGCTCCAGGGGAAAAGGTATTCTTTGACAGCTATGACGGAATGCCTGATGAGGAACTCAAACCAAAGAAGAAAGTTTGGGAAAGTCTACAGGTACATATTTCACAAGTTTCTTTCAAATGTTTACAACTGTGTTTTCAAAAGTCAACATGCCAGTTTAACAGGTTGAGGTTTGATATCATAAGTTATTTTGAAGGGTTATTGGATTGTTATTGGAATTCACTTATGCTTTTATTGGTTATACAAGTTAAATATTCGTAACTGACAAGTACAATGTCCTGTGCTGTGCTGGACCTAAATGTATTGGATAATCCTTCGGTGTTTGTATATTTATGTCACTCCATTACTTGTAATTTTTGTAGAGCAGATATTTACAACACAGTTTAATATGCGATATGCCTATGCAAATCACTGTAAGGCAACTCTATTCTAATTCAATTTAATTCTCAAACACATTTTGTGGTTGTAAACTCTTCAAATACAAACTGTTTTCCATGAAGCCTGAATACTTAAAGCGTCATTATTTAAAACAATATTGATCAAACTGAAACAGTATTTGCCATGATGCGTAAATATCAAAAATGCCCATGTTTTGATCCTACAGTAAAATAAAGTTTCTTTGCAACAGACAAAGAATAAAATATATATTCTATGGTCGATTATTATTTTCATTTGATGAACTAAATCCATCAAATACGACTGATTTCTGGACTACTACACCTTTTTACTCAAAATTCACTGTATATACATGTACACCTGTCCTGATAGATATACATATTGTTCTTATACTGCAGCAAAATGTTTGGATAGTCAAATCAAACAGAGTATTACAATCAGAATAAGAATTACTCTTATAGGGATAGTTATTGTCGCCAAAGATTGCATGTTGTAAATTTGCTTTTGTAGGATCTCCAGGTTAAGTGTTTACTGACATTTGTGAAATCAAATGTTGTTTTTTTTCTTAATATTTCTTCAACTCATTTCTCTCTTTCTCAGCCTGATTTACGATCCAACGGAGACTGTGAAGCAGAATGGCAGGGGAGTTTGATGAAGACCAAGCTAGGAAACGTGACCTGTAAATCACTCAAATCCTCACCGATCAGATAGTGTGGACAGACGACCAAAATATCAACCAGCGACTGTGACAGACATTTATATCGAAAAAACTCGAGATTGCAGTAATATAAGCCTTCCAACATCTTTTTGAGAAGGGTATGACACCCAATCAGTTTAAGTGTTTTTCATTGTAGGTGAATGAAGTTTGACAACTTGTTTATCAGTGGGCTTTCCTGTTTAGTACAGTTATTCACTGTGATGACGTAGCTCTAGCCAGGACTGCCTATCTCCTGTGTTTCATTCGGGTTTAGTTTACTGTAAGGTTGTTCTGATTTTACTTTTCTAACAAAATCTTTACTAACAGTTTTGTCAAAGTGATTCTTAAACCTATCGTAAAAGATCTGTTACTGATTTCACATGTTAGCGACTTTTGAACCAAAATTAAAATATCTGACATGACTTGTATGCTAAAAATTGAATATTTTATTGTATGCACACAGACAGATGTACATTTTGCTAATTATTTATTTCAGTGGTTTTATTCAATCATGCAGTATTCACATTTTGTTCATTTTGATATTTTCCAATGGTGTGTGGATGATGAAGGATACGAACATTATATTTAGGTATTAATAAAAGCAAATGTTAAGGTTTGTTGAAAGAATTTCTTTTCTAGCTCAGTGCTACAAAAATCAGGTTTCCATTTGATGAGTTTAAATAAAAACATATACCAGCGTACGATAACCTGCTTCTATTTCGTTTGTCAGTGTCAGAATAAAAGGGAGAGTCTAAGACATATCGTATCACTACAGATTCTTTGGTTCTATTATAACTGTCTGGGCTAGCTGTAACTTTCAAATATTAAGTATCGTTTCATGTAGTTTGAAATGCGTCTGTATTAACGTAGGTAATCACGATAGGCATGCAGTGTGCTGGTAGCCACAATATTCACCTTTAGGTTAAAGGTGAAATAAATGCAATATTTTCAAAAAAATCTTCCCCGTTTACAAAAATACAAATCTAGTTGAAAATAAAATTCAAGACCCATTGCCTTGTAATGATGTAATAAAAAGAAAGTAGAGAAGAATCCCCTACGAACCAATTTCCAAGTAATCAACAGGTACGCTCATCTCCTCCATTGATATAATAAGATTAAATTAAGTCTGCAGGTTATGTGGGTAGATTAGTTTTTTTTGCATGATCAAAGTGCTCAACTACAAGTAAATTGCGTATATAAGTGACAATTTTAAGATGTGTATGATAGACATTTAAACACTGGTCAGATATTTTTTTAAGTGCTTGGACTTGATGTCTCGATTGCTCACTGTTTTTGTGATACATTTGTATGGATACACCAAGAACATGTGTTGAAAGCCTGCTTATTTAATTAGTACAAGGTAACGTTTTTGTGCATGATTATTTTCAAAGTATTGGAATTTGTCATTATAATTAACTATGATTTTGGAAAATCACAAGTTCTATTTCAAGAAAAACAAATATTTGTAAAATGAAGTTTCATTTGTTTTTTTATGAAATTGACTCTTCAAATTCTGTCAAGGCCATCCTTCAAAAAATGTTAGATAAAACACTTTCTTATACTTATATTGTGTAAAAAACAGTTAAATAAATTAACGGGAATACTGTATTTTCAGTAATGATATTGCTTTGCAGATTTTTTTTTTACACCTGGTATCAGAAATTCATTAAATCTTGAGCAAAAGGATTTAAAAAATAAATACAGGTAGGGGTTTCTTGTGATGCAATATCAATTATCTGAAGAATAAAAGACGCTGCATCCAATTTCCATTTTGTGAGATCTCTGATCCCTCCTAGCTTGTGAAAGTCCTTTATTGATAAATCTATTGGTAAGAACTACCATAAAAGTCTGTTAAGTTTTACACTTTCATTGTATTACTGAATTAATGTATAAAGTGTGTGTTTGCGATTTACTGGTTTGAAAGATTATGCATGGTTTCCTAGGTTATTTTACTCTGAAGTTGTGAATTTGAATGCAAATTTAGAAAACATGTGAAAATGGTGAATAAATGTTACAAATAGTTTCACTGGTTTGTTATTCCTCTGAACTTTTGAAAAACTGTAATGGAAGAACTCTACCATGTTGGAAGGTCTTCAAACCATCTCATGTGAATCAAACATTCATAAAATTTTCAATCTACATTTGTACATGTGTAAGGAAGTAATTAAAGACCAATTCCTGGTAATGAATTACTAGGTATTTTCCTTTTATCAAAAGGCAGTTTAGAGAAGTATTTATACCCTTCAAACAGAGACTGGGGTATTCGTTATTTGCTGTGCCTGTACCTTCCAGTTTTACAGCACATCTCAGCCACTGTTTCATAAATTGACATAATAATAGTAATAATTAATATTAATAATAGGTTTAGGTTCCTATATACTGCTTTATCACAACCTAGTTCGTAGGTCGTCTCAAAGCGGTCCACAAATTATTATCCGTGGTTACAGGGCCTTTGCAACCAGCCAATATCTTTCTCAACTCCATGGGGTGCAAACAGCCAGTGCTGCCATTTCAGCACTCGCAGCTGGCATTCTACAATTCTAGCACTGCCAAATCACAAACTCATTTACAGCTGAGTAGACTGGAACAAGCGGTGTAAGGTACCTTGTTCAAAGATACAACACAGTGCTGTGACTCGACTCGAACTCGCAACCCTTCAGTCACGAGCCTGGCATCCTAGCACTAGACTGCCATGCCTCCTATAACATCAAGCATTGTATGCAGACTTGAACAGTATGAGAAGGTGCTGTATACTAAAATAGGAACACTGCCACCTCTATTTGACATTGACATCAAGTACATGAATTTAGATTTCCAGAAAATATCTCTGCCACAGCTTCATGTATGATGTATAATAACATCAATTCAAAGGAATAGCTTTTTAGCTCGTCTGGCCCAAAGTCCGTCGTCCGTCCGTCTGTTGTCAACTTTTTACATTAAACAACTTCTTCTCAATAACCAAGAAACCCAGGCTGATGATATTTGGCCAGAAGCATGCTGGGATGAAGGGCTACCAAATATGCTGTAATGAATGACCTTCACTCCTAATTAAGGTCACAGGGGTCATTTGTCTTGAAAACCTTTTAACGACTTCTTCTGAATTGCCAAAAGGTCCAGGGTGATGAAATTTGGCCAGTAGCATGCAGGGATAAAGGTCTACAAAGTTGTTCAAATGAATGCTCTTTGCCCATATTCAAGGTCACAGTGGTCAAATATGTTGAAATCTTTAAATGACTTCTTCTGAATAACTAAAGTGTACAAGGTGCTTGCTTGTAGATGTGAATGATCTTGACACACTTTTATGGTCATATCTAGTCCATAGTGCATAAATCTTTAAAAGTCATCTTATCAATAAACAAAAGGTATAAGGTGGTGATATTTGGCAAGTTGCATTCTGAGATGAATGGCTATAAAGTTATTTCAACTTAATATCCATGTTTTACTTTCAAGGTAACAGGGTTTAAATGTGTGTTAATTCTTTAACAGGTTCTTAAGAATGACTTAAAGTCAAGACACTGATATTTTGCCTGTAGCTTTATTTTAGTCCTCTTTAAAAGTTAAAATTGTGAGATTAATACCAGGTGAGTGATACAGGCTCATTGGGCCTCTTGTTTTCCAATGTCTAAATACAGGATAAAAGCAGGACTGTCTACCCTATCATAGGACATGACATTTGTAATACAATTATATTACTTGCCTAAAAAAACCTACAAGAGGCCCAATGGCCTTGCATCGCTCACCTGGTATTATTATCACTTGTAGCCTTAAAAGTGATCTATAATAAAGTTACAGGCAAAATATCAGTTATTATGACTAAAAGTCATTCCAAAGAACCTGTTAAAAGATTTGAAAACATTTGACACCTGTGACCTTGAAAGTCAAACTAGGTCATTACATTGAACAAAATTATAGCCTTCACCTCGGCATGCAACTTGCCAAATATCACTACCCTAGATATTTTGTTTTAGTTAGATTAGGTCATTTAAAGGTTTATACATATTTGACCAAATGTGACCTTGAAAGTGGGACAAGGACATTCAAATAAAAAATCTTGATAGCCCGTCATACAAGCATGCTACTGGCCAAAAATCATCATCCTAGGCCTTATTGGTTATTGAGAAGTTGTTTAAAGGTTTTAAACATATTTGACCCCTGTAACCTTGAAAATAAGTAAAGGTAATTATTTTACACAAATATGGTAGCCTTTTATCCTATCATATTACTGGCCAAATATCATTACCCTAGGCCTTTTAGTTATTCAGAAGAAGTTGTTTAAAGGTTTCAAACATATTTGGCCCCTGTGACCTTAAATTTAAGTCAATGTCATTCAATTGAACAAACTTGGTAGCCCTTTATCCCAGCATGCAATTGGCCAAATATCATCATCCTAGGACTTTTGGTTATTGAGAAGAAGTTGTTTAAAGGTTTTAAACATATTTCACCATTGTTACCTTGAAAATAAGTAAAGGTCATTCATTTCAACAAACTAGGTAGCCCTTCATGCTACTGGTCAAATATCATAGCCCTAGGCCTCTTGGTTATTGAGAAGAAGTTGTATAAAGGTTTTAAACATATTTGACCTCTGTGACCTTGAATATGAGTAAAGGTCGTTCGTTTCAACAAACTTGGTAGCCCTTCATTCCATCAAATTACTGACCAAATATCATTATCCAAGGCTTCTTGATTATTAAAAAGTTGTTTATAGGTTTCAAACATATTTGATTCTTGTGACCTTGAATATACGTCAAGGTCATTCATTTGAACAATCTTGATAGCCCTACATCCAAGCATGATGCTGGCCAAAATTGTATTATCCTAGGCTTCTTGGTTATTCAGATGAAGTTGTTTAGAGGTTTTAAACATTTGATCCCTGTGACCCTGAATATAAGTCAAGGTCATTCATTTGAACAAACTTGGTAGCCCTTCATCCATCAAATTACTGACTAAATATCATTATCCAAGGCTTCTTGGTTATTCAGAAGAACTTGTTTAAAGGTTTCAAACATATTTGACCCCTGTGACCTTGAATATACGTCAAGGTCATTTGTTTGAACAAACTTAATAGCCCTATATCCCAGCATTTTGCTGGCCAAATAGCATTATCCTAGGCTTCTCGGATATTCAGAAGAGGTTGTTTAAAAGGTTTAAAACATATTTGACCCCTGTGATCTTGAATATAAGTCAAGGGCATTAATTCAAACGAACTTGGAAGCCCTTCATCACCGCATGCTACTGGCCTAATATCATCATCCTGGGCATTCTGGTTCTTAAGAAGTTGTTTAAAGATTTTTTAAGACAATTGACCATGTGATCTTGAAAACGGATGAAGGTCACTCAATTGAACAAACTTGGTAGCCCTTCATCCCAGTTTGCTTTTGGATAAATGTCATCACCCTAGGCCTTTTGGTTATAAAGAAGAAGTGGTTTAAAGTAAAATATTGACGACGGACGGACGACGGGCGCCGCACCATGGCATAAGCTCACTTTGTCTTTTTACCGTGGTGAGCTTAAAATTGTGGGGACATAAATAGATGCAATTTTGTTATAAGCATCTGATCCAAGTTACCATGAGGTTTTACTAAATTTTATCATTTTATCATTTCAACTTTTCTACATCACAAATAAACCAAAAGAAAATCAGTGTACAAAATATTTATTGCATTACATACAAGTTATAGGCGATAAGTATACATCTATATACACATATTGACACATGAGAATCACAGACATTTGAGTAGGGGTACCTCTGTGAATGCTGACGTTTGCCATTTGATTAGGAATGTGAGGTAAGTTTGAACCTTTGTGTAACAGATACAGGACAGCTGCTTTCCTACATGGAATGAGGAGTGGAATGCTGTAAATATTGTTTAAAACATTTAGATAACAAATGGACATGACACAGAATAACCAATAACATCTTTTATCCAAATCAAAGAAATTTCCCTTTTTCTTCCACAAAAATATGATATGCTCATCTATGTATCTGTTTGAACTATGTTGTTCACATGACCATAAAATAAATTAAAATTTTCTCTTGAAAAAATATAATGATCTCCCCTGATTAAAGAGTCGTTGAAGTAGACAACAATGGTGTGTAGGTCTGTTGTGTAAAATGAATATCAACCTCTCTTGTAGTAGGGTAACAGGATTAATTGTTTCCCTTTGATCAATCTCTGGGGAAGCAAATGATCATGATAAGGTATTAGAATGTATAGTGTGCTTTAGTTTGTGGTAGAGAAAACATTTGATAAATAAAATTACTTGGAAAAACTTCTTCAACCCTTTAGTACAGTTCAGAGATAACCGAGTCATGCAAGAAATGAAATTCATTCCATGAAAACATGACCACTTCTTCCAAGGTGTGCCTGAATAACACATTCAATTACTGTTAATTCTAATTATATAATCACTGACCTTGATTTAAAGTTTATGAATTAACATTATAAACAAATATCACAGAATAACATGCTCACTGTCACAATAAATGTTGGGAGTTGGCAAGACTTAAAATAGAAAATATCATTTACTGTTCAGAACAAACATGACGTGTACTTGGAATGATTCCTTGTATTCATCCAACAGGAACATATGTATTTGATTTTGAGGAACAAATAACATAGCAGAACGGCTACCTACAGCAGTGCAATACAACTAAAAGAGTCCTTCACACGTTTTTCCAGTAGCATGGTTACATTACTATAAAAAAAGTTTGCCATGAAGAAATTACCGCTACAGTGAAACTGTCTAATCCAACAACCTGTGGAAACAAATTGGTCAAAATAGACAGGATATTAAAAAAAGTATATAAGCACTATGTCATACCCCATAATCCTTTATTAATTTCTTTGTGACAACCTATTGGTTCTGATTTTAAAACGGAGGAAAACCTCTATTAAGCCTACACGATTTCAATAGCCAAAAAAAAAAAGACAACATCAGTACATTCATATTTCGTACTGATAATATCAGGAAACAACATATATTGTGTAAGTTTTGTTTATATGTCGTCATATGTACACACTGTATGCAGAGAGTTTTGTTGCAATTTAGCATATTCATGTTATTAAATTTCACTAAAACATAAAGTAAAACTGTGATATAATGCTCCTTGCTTCTCTTTGCACCTCGCTTACCGCAAATGTTATGGTCCATTTATTTTGTTTTTTCTTCAGAATTCCTTTATATGTTTCCCTCAATTTATCGCCAATCCCCTTTACAACGCTAATATTTCTCTGGACAAATGGTGGCAATATAACAGGGTTTTACTGTGCCTCATGTCCCTGCATCAACATTTGACTGTTTTGAAATACAATATCTCATTGAAAACCTGTTTTAAATTGAACACTTCATGAATATGTATGTTTTAATCTAAAAAGAAAATATCACCCACATACACTTGACATGTAATTAAGGAATGACTTCCACAAAAATCTTTTTTCTACGACTTTTTTTTAATCATGATTAATAAAGTATATCTGTCAAAAACATATGTAGTTTTTCTCTATTGGACTAATACCAAAACGACTATCGGTACTCTGGTGCGACAAAGTTTTAGTTAATACGAAAACTGACACAGGGGCGTGACACAGATCAGTATTCCATGGTCCTGATATTATTCTGTGCCATGCCCCTGTGTTAACTGATAACCACTTTGTATATAATTCCCAGCAATTTAAAAGCTGTCTAACTTTATCCCTATACTTTTCAGGTGTTATTTCCCATTTCAGAAATCTTGATAAAATAGTTTCCAGAATTTACGTTTCAGACAATAAAAGTGCCTGGACTGAGAAGGTTTAACTGTACTATGAGTATAAATTAAGACGAATAAGTTTGATACAAGACAAATGAATAATAATTACCAGTAAGCTAGTACATTTGGACGACACACATATACAGTAAGGATTTCTTTTCCCTACATTTTCACAAACATAAACGTTATATGACACGTATACACAGACAAAACTGTTGGGTTTCAAGGTGAGAAATCATTATCAATTAAATAACATTGATCAACCAAAACGGAATCACAGAATTAGTTAAGTAACATTAAATTTCAACAAAAATTGCTCAACCATAAATGTATACAAATTCAAAATATCAACTGTTTGTTTTAATGAATCATATATGACAGTTCCAGAAAAATTCTTATTGATGATTCTTTTTACCTTTGGGGTAAAAAACCTCAAAAATTGATAAAATTTTATAGATATATATATGTATATGTAGAAATTGGTTATCAACTGTCAAATTAGATATACATGTAGATACTTCATGATGTCAATGCTGACATTTTACTTTTTTCTGTATATTTCTGACAGATGATTGAGCATAATTAATTTTTATTAGGTTTATATATTTCTCTAGATGAATGGTTACCTTTATCGTATATACGCAGAAGCCATAATTATGATTGCAAAAACAATTTGAAAATTTATTTTTCTATAAAATCTCACAAAGAAACCCAAAAGCAGAACAAGAGACAAGAATTAAACATGTATGCTGACATCCTAATGCTATTCCCAATGGAGGTCGTCTCTTCGTAACGTTGTTTGTAATTTGCGCATGTCCTTTAACACATTGAGTGAGACCTCACGGCCACTGGATGGCCGTACATGTACAAGGCCCGCCCCACGTCCCTTTGTTTTTATCGTGGTTGTCACTTCCACCTCAGAGGCTGTTTGTGTATAATCGGTGTTGGCTGATTTCGGTCGTTGCATTTTCTTCGAGTAATCAGAACTTTTCTTTTTCTTCTTTTTCAGGTCAAGCTAAAAATAAAAAACATGAAGTATTATATTCATAAATATAGGAAATAGAGAGATGATTTTTTTTTAAATGAGACAAAAAAAGGTTTTCAGGTCAGTCTACTGACAAGAGGTGCATTTTTGCTCTTACTCAGTTTCAGGAAACACCACCGACCTATGGGCGAGTTCATTAATTAATTAAGGTGGCTCTGGTTTAACTATAGAGATCAGTTACACTCCTTTTGATGATATGTAATGTATCACACTTGATAACCATTTGAAAATTCCATGGGGAAGATTGATTTGGAAAAAAGTAATTTCAGGGTCCAAAATCAGGAGTCTCCCTCCAAAGAAGAGTTGGAAAGTATGAAAATGAGTAGAGAAAAAAAGAAGCCATGGTGTCAGGACAACTACACTGTATGATTAAACCTACATTGTTTTCCTGTTGGACCCTAATAATTATTTGAAAGGAAGGCAGTAATTGGTTTTTGTCGACATATGCATTTTATTTTATCCAGGTTTGAAAAAAAGGGGAGCACAAATAGTGTTATAACTAGGCAGACTACAAACATTTATGGGGGGTAGTACACAACCCCCGTTCTGAAGAAAACATTGATATGTATACTATTTGATATGGAAGTTGGAACAGCCTGACAATAGATGGTTGATGAACAAATGGATAATATAAATAGCAAATGAACATTTTTTTTAATCTTTGCTCTTTCATTTACACATTACTGCTTGCTGTGTACAGAATTAAAAAACAACAACAATATTACCTTTTCTTGGTGTTTCCTAACTTTTGATATCTGCTGACTTTTAGACTCCATTCGTCCCACTAGTGAGTCTAACTCACGCTCCAGGTCGTCTCGTACCCTTGAATCGGTCACCTCGTTTATCTGCTTCGACAGTTCCTGATGTTCCCTGTTAATACAATAACCAAGCTTAAGTACGAGACAAAACATGGCAACTAACACAGGGGCTATCTATTGTTTGAGACAATTTATATCTGGAAGAGTAAAATCAAAACTGGAAAAGAGTGTATGATATTGCAAGAAATCATAAACAAGGGGCCCAGAGGGCCTTAGGAGTACACAAGGACCATTATCATGTGTAAGCTAAGCATATACTTGTTTGTAGACTAAGTGAGCTTAACTAATAAACAATTTTGGTTACCTGTTAGTTGCATTGTGGTCAAGCTGATTTTTTTCATGTAAATGTAATAGCTAAATATCATGACCCTTAGCTTTACAGATCTTTAGAAGATAGCCAATGTTAACTTCTGATCCTGCCAAGCGATCAAACATGATATTTGACCTCAATAAAATGTATCCGAAACAAATTTGCATTGCTTGTCTATATAACATACACAAGTATCATGGCTCTAGACGGTATGGTTCTTTAGATAAATGTTGTATGAAGTTTTTCAAATTTCAACATTTTTGTCCTTTGTTATTTGGACAGAAAGTCAAGGTTATATTTTAGGAAACTTTATAGCACTCCATCCCAGGTATCTACTAACCAAACTGTCTTTTGATGGAAGACAAATGCCGCGACATACCGGTATCATTTAGCTAACAGGCACTTTCTGCAAGCTGTGTTGAAAATAGGAATGGGCAGGAAGATGCTTTCAAGCAGAATCCTGATAATTGGTTCAAAACTCTCAAAATAATTCCACATCTACAGATGCTAATATGACAGATTTTAACAGTCACATGGTCTTAGATCACTTACACACTCATCTGGCCAAACTCGTCCTGGAGCTGTAGTAAGAGTTCAGCAAGGTCATGGTCAAGGCCGTCTGAGCTTGACCCTGAGGATGTACCGGATGATCTGTGAGTATCACACTGGTCAGCGGAGGAACACAGGGCCATATTATGTGACTTCATTAACGACAACACACGCTGGACGTTAGCACCAACAGAATGACTAGGAGTAGAGGACTGGAAAACAAAAACACGAAAATTAACAACAAAGTGACGGATGGGTGGATGGGAAAAAACGAATATAGAAATTAACACAGAATATCTAGCATAGCTGTCAAACCTACTTCAATAGGAGGGAGACTCCCTCATTTTAACCATCATTTACCAATCTCCTTCCAAACTCCCTCATTTTAACCATCTTTTACCAATCTCCTTCGAAACTCCCTCATTTTAACCATCATTTACCAATCTCCTTCGAAACTCCCTCATTCAAGTCCAAAATCACACAAACTCAAAAGCTACATCCTGTGGTCAAATGATTTCCTAGTTACTGCAGGGTGTGTGTAATGATATTAACAGGTGTGTCTGAATCAAATGAATGCTTTCTGGAGTTATTTTGATACATGAAAAGGGAAAGATAAATTGAGCAAAGCAGTTTCAGTCGCGTGTCACGCACTATCTCCCTCATTGGAAATGTGGAATGACGGAGATCTTCCTTATTGCGGGTTTCAGAGGTTGACAGCTAATTGATCTAGGGATAGACAAAAAATATTGTAACTGGAAAACAAATACAGGGATTTACAAAGACAGGGTGACTAGGGGTAGACAACAACAAGAAAGCAAAATATAAACAACAACTTTTAAAGAATAGTGGAAAATGAAAATGTCTCCTTTCACCCCATGTAATTTTAGCAGACTCTAAAATGCATTGATCTGGATGGGTTCTTTATGGTCTACAGAGCTAGTAGTGAAATGGTTTATCTCAGAACATTTACCACATAACTGAGATCTACTTCAAAATGTGGTTTTATTAAGGAAGTCTGAATGATGAATGCATTGTTTGACATGAGAAAATAACGCAAGAGAGCGCTGTTACAGTTACTTTAAGAGAGCCCTGTTACAGTTACTTTAAACTAGCAATCCATAAACCCTGTAGAATCAAACATTACTTCACCAATAAGAAATGTTTTATCGCAAAAAGAAACTGGAATTGAATCTGTCTCTCACAATCTTGATAAATGACCTCAAGCATGCAGTTTGAATTGGTTTGACTTTTGAAAACTGACCTTGAGAAGTTATGGAGAAATATTGACATTGAAGAGACCGTCTGATTTGGTCTTTATATACTGACTCTGAAAAATGCTATTTGATTTGACCATGAAGTAATAACCCTGAAGAATTGACCTTGAGATAAATGACCTTGAAAAGACAGTCTGACTTGACCTTTATAACATACTGACCTTGCCAGCTACAAATGGAATGTCAGCGAGGTTAAGTCTGTAATGCTTGAGTGCCTCCCGCTTTCTCTCCGGCTCCTGCTCAGCTGGATGTGTCTTCTGTTTCTTGTTGGAAGCCTTTTTCTTTTTCTTCACCTTTTTCGTCCGTGCTGACGTTGGCCGTTTCTCGTGCAATGCACCAGCATGCATCAGAATTCTGTTTGTTTGTGCCTCCGTCTCAAGCTATTTATTGATTAAAAGTACAGAATTATTATCGACTGACTACTGTATAACGGGAAGTTTTCGCCCAGTCAAACTTTCGCCCTTCGCCTGTGAAAGCCAAATTTTTCCAGAGTTAGTTTCAACCTTCAGATTTTAATTACCATGTCAGTTTTGATGTTGACTAATGTCCGTTGTAATTATAAATTCACGCTCATTCTGGAGGGCGACTAAGGTGAAAATTAAATTGAAGTGAAAATTTCCCGGTATACAGTAATAAATACAGTCAAACCTTTATATGGTCTCTTAACACAGGGAGTCTCTTAAAACAGGTTTATTTCACAATGAAATCTCTAATTAATGGGGATCTTTAAAGTGATCTCTTAACACAGTTGATCTTTTAAAACAGGTTTATTTCATAATGAAATATCGAATTAACAGGGATCTTTAAAGTGGTCTCCTAACACAGGTGGTCTCTTAAAACAGGTTTATTTCACAATAAAATATAGAATTAATGGGGAACTTTAAAGTGGTCTCCTAACACAGGTGGTCTCTTAAAACAGGTTTATTTTGCAATGAAATATAGAATTAATGGGTAACTTTTAAGTAGTCTCTTAACACAGGTGGTCTCTAAATAGAGGTGTTCACATGATCCAGTTTCATGGTATAGATTTATTTGCATATTGGTACACAGAAAAACAATATCATCATCCTTCATTTAAATTAAAGAGTTTTACAGTTTAGTGTTGTTGAATTGTGTTTGATTTGTTGCCATTGGTTTTATAATAATGATACAAAATGTAATAATGGGAATTTAGAGCGACTTAATCTATATCAACATTATATAGTAGCCTATTTATATGTAGATGCATTAAGGATCCCTTCCCCACTACAGGTGAAACACTAGAGAATTTAACTGTCGTTTTTCATACATATAGAGTAACCTCTCCTTCATTTTGCTTTGGATATATAACTGTAGTGAAGCTTGGCCGGGGAACTAACACTGATCAGGTAGCTTCCATTTTTTGTCTCAGAACAATGTTGTTAATTTTTTATTTATTTTTTCATATTTATAATTTTTTCATAGTAGTCCAGCAATGTATGAATTTACTTCAAGTTTTTTTTTTTTTGTCATGCCAGTAAAGAATTTTCAATTAATAGTTACACTTTAAAAAAAAAAAAATGGAATGGGGATATTTAAGATGTAAGCCAAGCAGAACATACCACAGCGGTCTTTTCTGACATCATCTGTCTTTGGTGCCGCTCTTCTCTTATCTTTTCTTCCAAGTCTCGGATTTTACCCTGAAACAGATGAAAATTGCATAAATTCAACAGTTTTTCCTCACTGTTTATAATTACCAAGCATCTAAGGATGAGTTGCATCAAAAAACATCTGAAATTTACTATTTCTACACTCAAAATGTTGTTGATGATTTCTTTTATACCATCTTTATCTATTATTTTTATTTCATCAAAGTGTGTTTTTCTTTCCATTTTTTTTTATCTAAACTATATGGCATTCTGGAAAAAAATATCCTCCTGGCAAAAAATATCCTTTGATCCTTATAGACCTAGAGGTAAGTCGATTGTACATAAATACCCAGCATAGATAATAAAGCAACACAGCAAGAATTGTTTTTGTGAAGGTATTCGTCTCTCATTTTGATACTGTGCATTTATGATTCCCTGATTATAATAAGCAACATACTGGTATATTGGTAAAATGAAGAATCGGCATTTGATATGTCCAGTGTTCACCACTACAGTTTTTGTTAAAAAAAAAATATCATTTTTTAATGCTAAAATTAAAAAAAAAAAAAGCTGATTTAAAATGCCTTCCAAGCTGTGATTTACATGTGAAAAGTAGAATCCTTCTGTAGAAATTGATTTCAACAAATATTTTATAACAGTGACAAATGGAGAAAATTATATATTTTAACTTCATAGTACCCGGTTTGCTTTGCCTTGAAAGCGACAGGCTTCTGTCGTCACACAATGGTAACAGAGAACCCCTGTCAGCGATATTGGCACACATTTTGAGTATAATGAGTATTATGTCAGCTTAAATAATTTACTTGTCTCTAATACAAACACACTGTAGTGTGACCAACAATGACCTGGCTTCATAAATATTTGATGTTTAGTTTTGTCAACAATGTTTATAAACAATATCCACGCTCCAAAAAGTATTGATCAAATTTACGTCCCTTTAAAATCAATTCTGCTGACCACATCCTCATCTGCATAGACAGTAGCAGCGCATTGAAAATGTACGAACACTATATACATATATACCCAACAGACTCTCATTGAACAATAACATATTTGTATCTCATATAACAGTGCTCAATAATATATAAATCCACTGAGAATTTATTAAGCCAGAGAAATAATCGAAATAGGATCGATGCTTATTAAATTTTGGCATGACAAAAATAAATTGCTATATTCAAAACAATAAGAAATTTTACATCTTTTTTCTTTTACATCTGGTCTTCGTTAACTATTTGAGGTACAAAATGATGTACCTTCCAGGTCCTACCCAGACCTTTTATTATTTTAAGCGTCACTGACTTCTTCGGACACATTACTAAAGTCAATCAACTTAAAAAATTGATTTTTCATCTTTTCAAACATGTCAGCAAAATGTTCATCTTTTCAGTTGTTTTTTTGGCTGATGATATTTTTTTACTCCAAGAATACCGTTTGGTTCCAGTTACAAGTTTCTGTATAAATATGTAAAGTAAAACACCAAAATAATGATTTGAGTTTTGTTCCCCACCTCACTTATATAAATTACTGACATCTTTTTATTTTGTCTTTAAAATTTCTTCACACAAATGTGTATCTCCCTCAATACATTGCCAAAACCATTTTTATTTTTATAACATCAATATTTCATCAGAAAACAGTGACAGTATTTCAAGATTTTATTGTATAACATTATGTATAGAACATGTAATTTATTAAGTCTTAATTCATTGTCATGTCTTTTTATGATAACAATGAGTTTGATTTGGTTTGTTTATGTTTCATGTCCTATGAATGGCTATGGTCATTTAAGGACGTGCCAGGTGGTGGTGATGGAGAAAATCGGGACTTCCCGGAGAAAAACCACCGACCTAGGGCCAGTACCTGGCGACTGCTTCTTGTAGGTCTCAAACCCGCGACCCAGTGGTGGAGGGCTAGTGGTAGCAGAATGTCAGACGCCTGAACCACTTGGCCACCGCGGCCCCTCGGGTTTGAATCCCAGTTAACAATCAAAGATACACTTATATTTTTGCTTGATAGAAAAATATCAAACATCAAAATTACTGGATGATTAAAGATAAAGTAACTTGATACAATCAAGCTGTATTAGAAACTATAGCTGTAAATTTTTATAATATTTGGTACAACCGGTGAGGGTCTGAAATTTTGAACTACGTACATATGACCTTTAACCTTATCCAAGGGAATGTCACAAATGTTTAAACTTTGACTTTGGGAGGATCCACAAAACCTCTTCCACTCAGGGCTATATTTCATTCTCCATGCGTGTATGTAGCATTCAGGTAAAGTGATAAGGCGGTTCACAAATATTATTTGCGATAGATAATCTTTCAACACACTTTCACCCGTAAACACATCACCGGGGGCATTAATTGGAATATTAACTCATTCACCCCTGAAGACACATTTGAACTCTTCCAATTCAACGATTGGAATAGTACATTATGAAATTTCAGGGGTGAATGAGTTAGTGGAGAGCGAGTCGTAGAGCGAGTTGTGACAATACTGTCCTATAAGCTAACAGTAAACATACTCGACCTCCCACTGTATGGTCTCTCAAGTCCTAAAACAAACAACTCACGGCCCGCAAAGTAATAACAACAACTTACCTATTCAAACAGAGTCCTTAGTCAACAGGCAGTGAACAAATGCATGGAATAAATGGCATAACTTTTCCCGATAAATATCATTATGATAAAATAAAACTTAAAATGGACTATAAATCAAGCTTTGCAAAACTTTTTTACAAACCAGATATATAATATATTGAGGAAAAGGGGGAGAGAGAGGGGGTCAGGGTAGGGCGATATTTCTTGCTGTGACAAAGACATCAAATAATGAAATATGTTTAATTAATGCATTTACATGTAGCAATAAGGGCCCCATCATGTGTCTGATTGTACCCCCCCCCCCCCCCCCCACCCCATTGGTCTATTTTTAGTAACAATAACCTTGACCCTAACAACATTCTAAACCCCTATAATTTATTGCACATCTACATTTTACTGTGTATCACCATGTCAAATTTCAAAAAGATCAAACTTTTGAGTTCCGAGAAAAAGACTGTACCCCTAATGGCTCGGGCCCTAATCATCTTAGTAAGCTTAAAGGAGATTTTTGTTGTTGTTTCTGGAGCTATACCTACGACTGTATTTATAAACCTGTTTTTGACATTTTAACTTTTATTAACTTGGTAACTGGAATTGGAAATATTAGGGATCTGTAAATTTCATGAATCAGACTTTTGATTTGTCAAAAAATAACTTACTTTTGGCAACATACATTTTATATTTAAATTTTTTCATGTTGTGCTTGTATACATTTACAGGTATTTGAAATGAAAATAAAATATTTTTGAGCTTGAATGTGAATTCCAAGAGTTCTTAAAAAGGAACCGAGTTTTGAAACTTGTATGTTACAGTACCATGAGGTACATGTAAAAAGAATATTTTAAAGTACCAATCCAAACTTTCACCTGTATGCCAACGAAAAATAAGGATATAAAGAAAAAGTGATGTTTGACTACCAAGCAGTGAATGTTTAAAGTAAGGTACATTGAATGTTTAAAGTAAGGTACATGCATTGTGAAACGACATTTAAACTCATTTGAAATTCTAATTGACATATAGGGACCGGGTCCGACCCATACTTTTAGTAAGACAGATAAATCAAACATGATAACAAGAAACCAACACAGTGTAAACATGTTTGCCTGGTAGAAATGTCCCTATCTTTCTCCCATTTCATGAGCTGGGAATGTATTCGGAAATTGATTTCCACAAAACATAATACATACCGTGGTATATACAACCAGTACTTGTGAATGTTTATATTTTAGAACCCCGACTTCAAATGAGGGAAGCAGAAATATTGAATAAGACTCCTAAATACATATACCGGGGTACTTGTAATAAGACTCCTAATTACATATACCAGGGTACTTGTACTAAGACTTCAAGTTACATATACCGGGGTACTTGTGATAAGACTTATAATTACATATACCAGGGTACTTGTAAAAAGACTTATAGTTACATATACCGAGGTACTTGTAATAAGACTTATACTTAAATATACCGGGGTACTTGTAATAAGGCTCCTAGTTACATATACCAGGGTACTTGAAATAAGACTTATAGTTACATATACCAGGGGACTTGTAGTAAGACTTATAGTTACATATACCAGGGTACTTGAAATAAGACTTATAGTTACATATTCCAGGTGACTGGTAATAAGACTTAAAGTTACATATACCGGGGTACTTGTGATAAGACTTATAATTACATATACCGGGGTTTGTGTAATAAGACTTATAGTTACATTTACCAGGGTACTTGTAATAAGACTCCTAATTACATATACCAGGGTACTTGTACTAAGACTTCAAGTTACATATACCGGGGTACTTGTGATAAGACTTATAGTTACATATACCAGGGTACATGTAATAAGACTTATAGTTACATATCCCGGGGTACTTGTAATAAGACTTATAAGTACATATACCGGGGTTTTTGTAATAAGCCTTATAGTTACATATACCGAGGTAATTGTAATAAGACTTATAGTTACATTTACCAGGGTACTTGTAATAAGACTTCTAGTTACATATACCTGGGTACTTGTAATAAGACTCCTAATTACATATACCAGGGTACTTGTAGTAAGACTTATAGTTAAATATACCGGGGAACTTGTAATAAGACTCCTAGTTACATATACCAGGGTACTTGTACTAAGACTTCAAGTTACATATACCGGGGTACTTGTAATAAGACTTATAATTACATATACTGGGGTTTTTGTAATAAGACTTATAGTTACACATACCGGGGTACTTGTAATAAGACTCCTAATTACATATACCAGGGTACTTGTAGTAAGACTTATAGTTAAATATACCGAATGTATTCGGAAATTGATTTCCACAAAACATAATACATACCGTGGTATATACAACCAGTACTTGTGAATGTTTATATTTTAGAACCCCGACTTCAAATGAGGGAAGCAGAAATATTGAATAAGACTCCTAAATACATATACCGGGGTACTTGTAAAAAGACTTATAGTTTCATATACCAGGGTACTTGTAATAAGAATTATAGTTACATATACCGGGGTAGTTTTAATAAGACTTATAGTTACATATCCCGGGGTACTTGTAATAAGACTTATAGTTACATATACCGGGGTACTTGTAATAAGACTTATAATTACATATACCGGGGTTTTTGTAATAAGACTTATAGTTACATATACCAGGGTACATGTAATAAGACTTATAGTTACATATACCGAGGTACTTGTAATAAGACTTATAGTTACATATACCGGGGTACTTGTAATAAGACTTATAGTTACACATACCAGGGTACTTGTAATAAGACTTATAGTTACATATACCAGGGTACTTGTAATAATTATCATTACATTGCATCATTTATTTCATTGTGTACGTAGGACAAAAATATGCTAATACAATGTATGTCTTGTCCCCTAATAGTCCAACATCTCTATATACAATGTATCTCCTTTAATTTTGAGAAAACCTACATCAGTATATGTATAAAAACATTTTTCAATGGAGATAGTCAGTTATTTAAAGATATTCCCATTATAAACTGACATGACTTTATATGTCATTCTGATTTTAGTCAATAAGTTGAAATACTTGACAGTGATTTTTGTAGATTTTTTCAGGCAAGTTCAGGGCCCGTATTCATGAAACCGTTCTCGTGCTCAAGCCAATTTCTTCTAACTCACTTGAATCATGTCAAACGATCAAAAAGTTGAATGTTACCATTAAAAACAGTGTTTGGTCTTGCATTCTTCAAAGTTTTTCCCAATCATTGGCAAAATAAGTTTTCATTATTAATTTATAAACAGAACAAGAAATTTGGCTCGAGTACAAAATCCATGCTTGAGCATGAGAACAGTTTCATGAATACGGGCCCTGAACATCTTTTATCAAATGTTTGAATCCTACTACTTATAGCATTAATTAACTCATTCAACCCTTAAAACATGTTTGAACTCTTCCAATTCAAAGGTTGGAATAGTTCATAATGAAATTTCAGTGGTGAGTCCCAAAAATTATCACAACAGCAAATACATTTAGGGTATCGACCTATAAACCTTCAAGATCATGTATGTATTAATTTTTCTGTGGTCTGAAAGTCATGAACTGTTCATTCAATATGTCCTGGACTTTTCAATTATTTTCCCCTGTATCAGCAAACCGGACACATTACTATTAGATTAGACGTAAAGTACATAAAATCCCTCACACGCAGAAACATGTTTTTCATTATTTATTCGTGTAAGCAAATGAAAACTGATTGGAAGTTTTAAAGTTCATCAATTCTGGTCCCTGAAGTAATTTAACAATTCGAAATTGAAAACAAACAAGCATAGATTTCGCTGAAGATCTTCTCCTATATACTAGCATAAATGACATGTACAGATGAGATTTTAAGTACAGAGAACCAGAAAAAAATGTTTAAAACCTGTTATAGAATTTGTCAAACATGTGTTAAGTACTGGTCGAGGTAATTCCATCTTGTATTGACATAAAGGTGTGATAAATTGTTGTATTTCATTCAGCATGATAACACACATTATATATTCAGTGAAATGTATGATAAAATGATGTCGATTCTTTATCGTGAAATAGAAAGGCAGATCCACATTGCAAGAATTTTTATAAATACTGGGTAAAAAAATCTTTAAATGTCTGCAATCGTACAATTATAGTTGAAAAGAAGTTTATATCGTTCAAGGTTTACTAAAAGCTCATTAAATAGGATGTAATTTTAATCTCAAGTTGGCGAGTATTTTTCAGGTTTTATCGAGTTGTGAAGTATGACGGCCTTTCGCGGCTCAGACGACTTAAAGAGGACATTAATTTCATCTCAAACACATTTCACTATGAATTAGATATAGAATGCCATACACTACAAAGACCTTGATTTATGTTGACAGCTTCCATAGAAATTGACCACAATTGGGATAAGAAACGACAGGGTTTTAACCTCAGTATGAACGCTGCCAAATACTCATTTTTCCCTCTGACACAAAAGAGCATCTATGTTTAGAAGTTTGATGGAATGTTTTTTTTTCCAAATCTAATAAATTTATTTTACTTTTTTTTGTAAGGTACTGAATAAAAATAATTAATTGATTCCGACAAGTTGGTCACATGGAATTCGTAGGAAGACCCAACAATGTAAACATACAGAGCTTATACACATACAAATATAATGTGAGGATCTGGCACCCACAATAGGGCCGAACAATGCTTGTTATATACATTTTGTAATTACAGATGTCATGAAGATGACCTAACACAGTACGATCATATGACTAGACATTTCAATTATATTCTGTACAAGACATTTCAGTAACAATCACTGCAATACAATAAGTATGATACCAAATTAATTACATGTTTCATATAAAATACAATACATGTACAATTACCTTTTCATTTCCTCACAATCGTCAAGGAGTATAATGTTTTTCCTGTTATTACAAGCCACGATCAGATATCCTATAGTTGCAATGCTTTACCAAAGAAAAATGAATAACTGGTTTTGTTATATTGCTTGAATGTGTATATAAGGTTAGCAGTAGAATTTTTTCAATCAGTGCATGTAATTACAGGCAAACAGGAAAGAATAGAAAAATATTTGAACTTCAGAGGAAATAAATTAAAACGTGCAGACATCTAGATCACTCACAAAGCTGCAATGAAAGCACATTTTTTTCTATAAGTATGCTACTGTTAATGAAAGGAAAATTTCATAATTCCATAGATCAAGTTTTTAAACACCTTTGAGATGAGCATTCATATCCAAAATTTGATGAGAAATCCCAAACGCTGTACAAGACTATAGTCTTGACTCTTACCTAGGGGTGTAGGATAGGGGAATTCCAACCCAGGATTTTCCATTTGCCAAATTTCAAAATCCCGAGCGTTGAGTTTCCCTTTCCTACACCCTGGGCAATCCAACCACAAGAATAAGCTCGGAAACCATGAAAATGCGTTTGGACTGGCCACCATTTTGATTTTATTTATTTTTCCCTGAGCTTTTAAGACGAAAACCCCATATTTGCAAACAAGTTTGCACAGAATAATTAATCACACCTTTCTCACGTATACAGTAAATACATTGTAAAAGGTTTTTATTTCATCACGTAGCTAGTCTTTTCCACATTGCGGCATCAAAGATTTCCAAATTTGTGTTGTCACACAGTGTTGAGCCATTGTGATGTCACGTCACGTGAAATGGGGTGCATGTAAGATAGAAATTTCTTACACCCCTTTCTTACCCTGGACAGCTCTATCTTAAACACAGGAAAATGAGAGAATATAAGTCCACAATAACTTCACTCACCTCTGCCAGTGTTTGTGTGGCTGTTAACTTCAGTTGTTCTCGCTCAAGTTGGCTGATCTTTTCCGCCTGGGGATCAAACGTCATTATTGGTTTGTGGAACTCTTCTTGGTGTTGCTGTTTCTCCAATATCGTTGACTTAGTAACAGCATCACGTTTATCTGAGTCGGCATTTTCCACCAACTTCCTCATGTGTTGGAGCTGTTTCTCCAGGAGCCCGCTCCGTGTCTCGGCTGCCGTCAGCTGGGACTCCAATTCTGGAATGTTGAATCAACATAATGTAAAACATACCTCACACATAACATAAAACATACCTCACACATAACATAAAACATACCTCACACATAACATAAAATTGTATCTGAAAATCATTCCTTCATGTTCATAGTAGAAACAAATTTAAGAATAAGTCCAAAACCTTTTGAATCTCTTTTGACTTGGCCCCCCCTATATATCCTGTCTACATTCCAAGGATCTGTCACAGGCAAAAATATCTTAAAACACATCAACATTTTTCTCAAAAAATGATAAAGATATTTCATATTCCTTTTTTAGTATTTTTTATCTTTTATTTTTACAGTTTGCAAATGAATGACAATAATAACCTTGTGACTGCTGCGACATGACAGTCTGTGTTGGTTCCACATTTTCCGGCTCCTTCGTCAGAATGTCTTTGTATCTGTGGGTTTCTGCTGCCAAACTTTTAAGATTTGTTTCTGCTGCTGCTCTCTCCGTCTCCAGCTTCCGAATTTTTTCTCGTAAATTTTTCAAGGCTGATATGACAGCTGAAAGAAGAAGGCAGTGCAGACGTTCAACATGTTTTGTACATGTAGTTCAGAAATATAAACTGTTTTGTAGATGTAGGTCAGAAATATAAACTGTTTTGTAGATGTAGGTCAGAAATATAAACTGTTTTGTAGATGTAGGTCAGAAATATAAACTGTTTTTGAGATAGTTACTACATGTGAAAAAAGTATATACATATAAGCAAAGTGACACAATCAAATCACCTGTCAAAATTGCAAATGAACCTTTATTTTATTACCGTATCTGGTTTTCTTCATATACAGAGGAGCATTGATGAGTTGTCCACTTCCAAATGAAAGGGTCGACTCATTAATTACCTTTCATTGACAAGAGCAGTCAAAGAAAGGGTCGACTCATTAATGACCTTTTATTGACAAGAGCAGTCAGTATATATATAAACAAACAAAGTGAAAACCACTAATTAATTAAAAGTTTTTAAAATCTGAAACAAATGCTATTTGTTTTGCTTGGTTGCTTCTAGCTATATATAGGTACAGTATAAATATATGTAGTAGGTATAATCCTACGTGTGTTTGCAGATCTACATGTATGTAACATCTAATTCATATATCTAAATGTTGTCTGTACATGTGGTATAAACAGATTGGTTTTCCCTTCACGTTAAATGATTTAATAATTAAGTCTGTAATTTACCGATGCTGGTAGATCTAGTATACTGGATCTTGAATGAAACCTTGTTTAGTATCATTTAGTTTGTTTATCAACTGTGCCATTTACCTAGCTACATTGTCGTTTAATTACCCACAGTTGTCAATCTACACTGTCGTTTACACCCTACACAGTTGTTTGCCTACACTGTCACTTACCTACATTTTCTTTTACCTATACTGTCACTTACCTACACTGTTGTTTACCTACACTGTCGTTTATCTACACTGTCATTTACCTACACTGTCATTTACCTACACTGTCGTTTATCTACATTGTCAGTTATCTAAATTGTCGCTTACCTACACTGTCATCTACCTACACTGTCGTTTATCTACATTGTCGGTTATCTACATTGTTGCTTACCTACACTGTCATCTACCTACACTGTCATTTATCTACACTATCATTTACCTACACTGTCTCTTACCTACACTGTCGTTTATCTACATTGTCGGTTATCTACACTGTCGTTTACCTCCACTGTCGTTTATCTACATTGTCGCTTATCTACATTGTCGCTTACCTGCATTGTTGCTTACCTACACTATCATTTAATTTACCTACACTGTCATTTAATTTACCTACACTGTCATTTAATTTACCTACACTGTCCTTTAACTACATTGTCGTTTACTTACATTGTTGTTTACTAATTGAGCAAATTCAGGTCAGTTAGCCTCACTTAGTGTGTTGTACCTTCTGAGTTTTTTACAGAGCTTTAGATTTGTCAAATTACCCTAGTTATTAATACTGTCGTTACTTTTAGCTAAGTCTGTTGCTACCTACAGTATCCTTTTGTTTACAGATCTACTGGATCTCTTGCTCATACTGTTGTTTTGTCTTACCTAATCTGTTGTTTTGTCTTACCTAATCTGTTGTTTTGTATTACCTAATCTGTTGCTTTATCTTACCTAATCTGTTGTTTTGTCTTACCTAATCTGTTGCTTTATCTTACCTAATCTGTTGTTTTGTCTTACCTAATCTGTTGTTTTGTCTTACCTAATCTGTTGTTTTCGGGTGATGTTGACACGTGTTTGTCTGAGGTATGTCGGTAGTTGTCGTTGATGAAGGGTTTTTCGGTGGGATATTCATAGTAGGCAGTAGTATTCATGGACTCCTCTTGGTTACGGTACAGCGCTCTCTTCGTAGGACTCTTTGAGTGACTGCCCGAGATGTGAGGTGCATAGGTCTGAAACAGAAAAATAAAAACTTCATTTTCATTTTCTTGAAAGTCATTGTAAAGGTTTGTGTTTACTTGCATGCGCAGCCGATGATGTTTCTGAAGAATCAACTAAAAAGTTAGAGGTTCAAATCCCATTCAATGCATGTGCATTATTTATTTATAGACCATATATATATATGAGACAAACATATATGAAGGTTCAAGGCCTAGGTCTACATGACCCTTGAACAGAACGCTTTATTGCAGATGTTTTGACTGCATAGCAAGTTGGCAGTTCATAACCAGCCCATTAATCACAAGGTCAAAATATTAGGTTGATCTGGCAGACAGCAGGATGTCACATGTTGGTTCAAGGTCTAGTTTACATGACCTTGAACATAACATTCTATTGCAGATACTGATAGTTGGCCTGGGCTGCAGAGCAAGTTGGCAGAGCACCAGCTTCCCTTTAACTCATTCATCCCTGAAGACACATTTGAACTCTTCCAATTCAAAGGTTGGAATAGTTCATTATAAAATTTCAGGGGTAAATGAGTTAAACACAAGGTCATAACATGGCAAGACGTGGTTGTGTTTTTGAACATACTCTTCACCTGTATTTTGTTCATGATTACCTGGTATTTTTATTCCAGCAGCTTCGTCAAGATGTGGAGCTAGTTTGGTCTGGGTTTGGTGTTACAGTTTAATATGTTTACTGTACATGAAGTGTATGTAAATTAGTACACTTGATATGAGCAGTTGGAAATAAGCACAAATAACAGGCAGAAAATCAAAGGTGGCATACAAAGGTAATTAAGAGGGTGCTCTCACACCCTGCTGTCCCTTTGATTCCTTTAAATCTTAAAAGACTTGTAGAACTTTCCTTAAGATTAGATTATAAGATGGATACAAATATTGTATATCCCTTTAGTTTACCTAGCTGTGCAGTAGTACAGTCCATATGGACATAGGAACCAACGCAAATACAAGCTAGCTAGGAAGTTAATTCCATGCAAGACAAATAAGCTTTACCCAGAACTAGAGAAGTGTTATCATACTTGTAAATTCATGGAAACTGGTAGAAAAACTAGTGTTGGCCATCAATACAGGGTTTAATTTGAGTTCCAAAATACTTCAGTTTAAATCTATTCATTTTTATATGGTGAGAGTCAAATCTGCACCTACTGTAAAACATTTCAATCTAAAATTTACAATGAACCGCCAATCATTACCTACACCACATAATTATACAGTATATTTAATCTACCAGTTTAGTTTACAGCTTATAAATTATGTTCATTTAAAATTTATTTTCAATCCCAATACGAATGTACAGGTATATACATTCTGTACATAAAGTTTTCAAACCAAAAAATGGAATAAAAAAAAATAGAACTTAAATCCCCCCCCNCTGTACTCATATTTTATATATGGTGATGACAACCTAATCGTAAAGATCCTAATTAATTAACTCCAGTCTGACAATCGCACAGAGTAAACATTACTGGGTATTGGACAGTTGATCAGTAAGTACTGTAGCCGTGTGTCGAGTGTTCCCTATAGGCCCCCAGTGTTAAAAAAGGTGATCACTGGGACCGTTTCCTGGCACGATATCTGATAACATTTCATTCAATATAGTCGCTTGATTTCAGATAAAATCAAAGTTACAAATACAGTATTATGATATCGGACAGATATTTTAAGCGCTCGTGTAACCACTCCGAAACCCGATAAGGCATTAGCCTATTTTTGGTGTGAGTAAATCGTAAATGGGTCGTATTAAACCTGTTCGCATGATTTGCGATGATAAAAATGTGAAACATTTAATCTGATTTTTTTCAAATCAATAGACAAATTGTTTATAGACCATTTAATGTCCAAAATCAATAAACCGGGGTAGGACAAGTACAAACCAGCAGTAGAATAAATGTTGACATCAATTTCAGTTTATGATGGGAATTAAGGATTGGCCCTATAACTTGACAGACTTCAGTAATAAATTCTGTATAAGACTTCTGTGTCAAGTAGCTATATATAGCAGCATATATCTGTAGACACTCGATCGCAATCTGTATATAATTATAAATAAACAGGCAAATCAGTTTTGAAACACAAGCCCCCCCCC